CAATGCTGATAATAATAATGATATCATGTAGATGATAGTTACTATTACATACTTCCTCTGTGCCGTATAATGTGCCAGGCGCTTCACATGTAGTGTCTTGATTTCACAGACATCAAGAGATACACTTTCAGGACCGTTGTCTACTTAAGTATAAAATAGGAATGATGACATTCATGATTTTTATCAAGAGTTGTTAGTAAAAGATGGGGTCAGGATTAATAGGTCCATTGCTTTCCAACAAAATGCTTTTCCCACTGAACAATACTGTCTGCTCACTTTGAACATAGTAGAGTTCCGGGAAACATCTGTTCTATTCTGCTGCTTTGCACCCCGGTTTTGCCATTTCTAATACATATTGGGGACAGTCATAGCTACATTTACTCAAGCCAGTTATCCACATAATTTTGTAATTTTTAAAATTCCTAAGTACAAATAATGAATTTTTTAAAATTTGAATTGCCATGAAACTGCACTGACGAGTATATTACAGAATCATACTAACAGAAATGCTCGGTGTATCTTAGTCTTCTCAGAAGTTTAAAATATCGTGGTCATCTTAGGTCATGAAAGTTGGGACTTGGTCTAGGTGATTTATTGCTGGAAGCCTGGTAAGGATCTGGTTATAAGAAAACGTGTATAATTCAGTGGTTTAGTGTGGATCTCCAGGGCCATATGGAAGTGTTACTTCTATCTGAGTAACGTATTAAACAAATCAGTAGTCAACCAATCATCGATACCATGATCAAGTGAGTTTGTTTTCCTGAGGTGGTCCATTTGGCATTACAAGAAAAGAGATTCCAGTAGTGGACAGCAAGTTGTGCAGAGGTCCCCTTCTCTGAATCCTTTTCAGTTTTTTAAGTAACCCACTCATTCATATTTTATCTTTAGGGTAGTATAGCATTTGATACTCTAACTACATATTGAAATTCTATCACAGAGAAAAGTAGCACATGGACTCTGGGGTCATGTTACACTATTATTGATGTTTGTGAGCGTATCGCTTCCATGAAGCCTATTTCCTCAGCTATAAAGTGGAATTTACATACACAGCATAATGACTATAGTTAACAAAACTGTATTACATTTCAGCTGCCAACAGTAGATCTTTAAAGTTCTCAAGAAAAAAATTGTTTATAACTCTCAGGTGGTACATGTTAACTCAGCTTTCTGTGGAAACCATTTTGCAATATATGCGTATATCAAGTCAAGTATTCTTTAAATTAATAAAATGTTATGTGTTAATTATATCAACAAAACTGGAAAATGTTTAAAAAGGAATTTGTATCTACTTTGTATAGTTAAGTCAACTAGTAATAGTTCATATAAAATTACTAGAGGGATGCCTGGCACTGTTGGTATCAATAGAAATAAACCATACTTATTAAACTTTGCTTAAGAAATAGAATAGCTAACAACATTTTTTAATCTGCTTTATATAATTCATCTTAGTATGATACTGTTTAGAAGTTATATTCATTTTACATAATTCTGAAATACCTAATCTGGTTTGTTTAAAGCCATTTAAAACCTAAACCTCTCAACAGGAAGTCACCCAACAAACAAGTGTTTCGGTCACTCACCATATTTGATTACTGGAATTAAAAAAAAAAAAACGACTTAGTAGTTTCTATCCAACCCTTGATTTTGCCATGTAGGGAAGAGCTGGTTTCCCCTGAGGACCTGCTGGAGTGGCTGCGGCCGTTCTGTGCTGATGACGCCTGGCCCGTGGGGCCCCGCCTTCGTGTGCTGCAGATTTTGGGGCAGTCATTTCACCTGACTGAGGAGGACAGCAAGCTTCTTGTGTTCTTTAGGACAGAAGCCATTCTCAAAGCCACTTGGCCCCAGAGACAGGTAAGGGAACTTCTGACTGGGTATTGAGCATTTTCTCTATTAGCAATAATTAAGAGGCCATTTCTTGATTACTGTAACTGCCTTCAGGTGAATAATCAACGTGGTAATACAGACTTCTCAATATGTTCATCAGTGCACCTATTTAGTAGTTAAATATGTACAGGAAATGTCATTTTGATTCTTCTCTATGTTTGAATATACATATGCATGGTCGAAGATGTCTCACCTAATGTGTGCATCATTTTTCTCTTCATAGGATATAGTCAGGTTTCTCACAGTGTCAGTTAATTATGGTGTCTCATCCTTTCCCTGGAGAAGTGCAGACCTAAATGGAAATGCAGTGTGCAGTTTAGTGAATTCATTTCCCGCCTGCTTTGCCTGGGCACTCAATGCCCTCCCTTCTCTACCTAGACAGACATAATGTAACTGACGCATAAGATCTTTGTTTTCTGCATTCCATCCATTAAGGCTCGCTCAGTCCGTTGTCTCTGACTACTTCAAACTTAATGGAAACTTGAATCTTACACATTTGAACTTTAATTATGTAATTGTTACTGTTAGTTTTTTCTCCCTGCTAAGGTGAAAACCTATAAGCCTTGGAGGATATACTTACCATTCCCTTCAGTCTGCTGTGCCTGCACTTAGAGCTTAAATACTTGTTGACTGAGTAAATAAGAATGTTAATTCCTTAATAAAAGAAATATGGTGACTGTTAAATTTAGTTTAAATTCTAAACTGATGCTTCTTAAAGACATAGGATCTAAGAGTCCATACCTCAGTCAAGTGCTTTAGGATGCAGAATAGACCATATGCAAAAAAAGTTAGAAAGTAAGACTTCCCTGATAATCTCATCTGCAAAAGGGTTTCCTGGAAGTCTGACTCCAACTCGATTTGCCTTCTGATTTTAAAGCTTTGCTTTATAATATATATTTAGATCCTTATTACTACATTTAATAGTGAGAAACCTCACTAAATTCTATGAAGAGAAAAACACGTTAGATGAGACGTCTTCAACCATGCATATGTATACTCAAACATATAGAAAAATTAAAATAAACTTTCCTGTACATATTTAACTACTAAATAGGTGCACTGATGAACATATTGAAGTTTGCGTTACCAAAAGTTTTTATTACCAAAAATTAAAGAACAGTAAATTTTTTTAATGTATCAAATATTAAAAATATCTTGAGACATATCTCAGAGCATAATCATAATTACTAGTTTATACTTATTTCCTCTATGAGAGAATTAGATACATATTATTATCTGGGGTTCTTCAGAGTTAGGGAATTTGAGATTCAAAAAAAGATGTATGTGTGAAAATAATCTTGCCAAATTGCTGTAATGTATTACAGTCACTAATATCGGAGGAATACTCTCTCTGAAACACCATGACCTTACCAGCATATTTAGTTCTAACATTTTGCCTTGAACTTGATTGAGAACCCACAGTCGTCTTACAGAGCAGTCTGTGAACACAGACCAACAGGCTGTAACCCCTGTCCCAGGTCCCTGGCGTGGTACACGATAGGGCGTGTGCTTGTTTGCAGCAGACCAAGGCTCCTGCAGCACCCTTAGGTGAGCTCCAGTTAGGTCATGTTATTTTTGACATGAGGAACCTCTGGTTCTAACTCATCCTGAAACAAATAAATGTTCCTACTCTTACGTACTTTTCAGACAGAACCTCCGTTTTTCCAGTTCTGACTCTTGCACAGTTACATTTGCCTCAGTGGCTGGCCTGGTAGGTTGAGAAGGCTGGTTTCTCTGGCTGGAGCCGCGCTTCACGTTATGTCAGATCTATACACCGAAAATATTACAAAACAATGTGGAAGCCAGGAAAGGGGAAAAATCCATCTTACCTGTCATGTTGACACACGAGAACATACACTTTGATATTTGGGCCTAAATACTTCAGAAATAGCATAAGTATAACCATTTTTTCTTCTTTGAAGCTTTTCTCAGTGTTCCAATTACTCAGTAAATTGCAGCTTGAATGATTTCAATGATTTCTGAGTATTTCTGAGATGCTAATTTCTTTATAGCTTAATTTTTTCCAAAAACAGAATTAAAAGAGCTTAGCCTTTGTTAAGGTTCCGTCTCCATGCACTGCTCTAAAGCGAGTTGACTTTATTTCACTGAGTTCCAGTTTTCTCTCTCATTTGCAAAGTCCATACGTAGCTCCTCACCTTACCAGTGTCTCCCCTGGTGCTGCACACTCTGAAGGCCTCTAGAACACGTCTCTCCCAGAAGTCTCCAGGCTCTGTAAAAGTCATACCATGTCCTCTCATTCTTTTTCTGTTCTCCTCTCTTACTTTTATTTTGTGTACAAACAGTTTCCCTTTTCTTAGAAGATAATAGTCCGTGTTTCTTAAAGTATTTGGCAGTGGAAATAAGTAGACTATTCTAGTGCTTAATTATGCTGTTCCCTGTAGTCTTCTCCAAAAGATGAATCAGTGGGGGTGTCCTTCTCCTATAAAATTTAAATATTCTTTGTCACCCTGGCATTGCCGATTCAAATGTATATGGGAGGACAAGTGACTTTGGTGGGAAATTCTGTCTTATAGTTGTAAATAGCTGCTTGCCACATGGAAATGAATACAGAAAAATGACTTCTGATGGAAACAGCAGCAACTTCCGGGATGTTACCAAACTGGGCCCACAGATTAAATGTGAGGTTGTCTTCATTATTGTTTTCAGAAAACTGTGTTAGCTTCCACAGTAGCAGTAGGAAAATCAGGGCATTAGAAAAATCACAGGCAAGTGTTTCCACCCTCCTTCGACTGCTGTTTCATAATCTTGGAGAAAATTCGTAAATTCTGAGCCTTGGCTATTTAGTGTGTAACATGGAACTTTGAACTGGAGGAGGTAAAGGTCTGCTCACCTTTGTCATTTCTCTCACACACATTAAACAGTCTTCTTTATCTCCACATTCCAAACATCTACAAGACCCCAAACTGGTGATTGCACAGGCTCTCATTTTCATTCTCCCTACTTTCTGCTCCATTCTCAAAGGTAATATTAAGACTAGAGACAGATTCTTACAGAGTAAAGAGAAGAATAGGTAATGATACTGCAATGGTCAATTACCAGAAAATGTGGGACTGTTTCCTTTGCTGTGGCTAGTAATCCTCTTAGGCAGACTTTGCATACATCAAAGAGGAACTAACTCTCAGGTGGTACATGTTAACTCAGCTTTCTGTGGAAACCATTTTGCAATATATGCGTATATCAAGTCAAGTATTCTTTAAATTAATAAAATGTTATGTGTTAATTATATCAACAAAACTGGAAAATGTTTAAAAAGGAATTTGTATCTACTTTGTATAGTTAAGTCAACTAGTAATAGTTCATATAAAATTACTAGAGGGATGCCTGGCACTGTTGGTATCAATAGAAATAAACCATACTTATTAAACTTTGCTTAAGAAATAGAATAGCTAACAACATTTTTTAATCTGCTTTATATAATTCATCTTAGTATGATACTGTTTAGAAGTTATATTCATTTTACATAATTCTGAAATACCTAATCTGGTTTGTTTAAAGCCATTTAAAACCTAAACCTCTCAACAGGAAGTCACCCAACAAACAAGTGTTTCGGTCACTCACCATATTTGATTACTGGAATTAAAAAAAAAAAAACGACTTAGTAGTTTCTATCCAACCCTTGATTTTGCCATGTAGGGAAGAGCTGGTTTCCCCTGAGGACCTGCTGGAGTGGCTGCGGCCGTTCTGTGCTGATGACGCCTGGCCCGTGGGGCCCCGCCTTCGTGTGCTGCAGATTTTGGGGCAGTCATTTCACCTGACTGAGGAGGACAGCAAGCTTCTTGTGTTCTTTAGGACAGAAGCCATTCTCAAAGCCACTTGGCCCCAGAGACAGGTAAGGGAACTTCTGACTGGGTATTGAGCATTTTCTCTATTAGCAATAATTAAGAGGCCATTTCTTGATTACTGTAACTGCCTTCAGGTGAATAATCAACGTGGTAATACAGACTTCTCAATATGTTCATCAGTGCACCTATTTAGTAGTTAAATATGTACAGGAAATGTCATTTTGATTCTTCTCTATGTTTGAATATACATATGCATGGTCGAAGATGTCTCACCTAATGTGTGCATCATTTTTCTCTTCATAGGATATAGTCAGGTTTCTCACAGTGTCAGTTAATTATGGTGTCTCATCCTTTCCCTGGAGAAGTGCAGACCTAAATGGAAATGCAGTGTGCAGTTTAGTGAATTCATTTCCCGCCTGCTTTGCCTGGGCACTCAATGCCCTCCCTTCTCTACCTAGACAGACATAATGTAACTGACGCATAAGATCTTTGTTTTCTGCATTCCATCCATTAAGGCTCGCTCAGTCCGTTGTCTCTGACTACTTCAAACTTAATGGAAACTTGAATCTTACACATTTGAACTTTAATTATGTAATTGTTACTGTTAGTTTTTTCTCCCTGCTAAGGTGAAAACCTATAAGCCTTGGAGGATATACTTACCATTCCCTTCAGTCTGCTGTGCCTGCACTTAGAGCTTAAATACTTGTTGACTGAGTAAATAAGAATGTTAATTCCTTAATAAAAGAAATATGGTGACTGTTAAATTTAGTTTAAATTCTAAACTGATGCTTCTTAAAGACATAGGATCTAAGAGTCCATACCTCAGTCAAGTGCTTTAGGATGCAGAATAGACCATATGCAAAAAAAGTTAGAAAGTAAGACTTCCCTGATAATCTCATCTGCAAAAGGGTTTCCTGGAAGTCTGACTCCAACTCGATTTGCCTTCTGATTTTAAAGCTTTGCTTTATAATATATATTTAGATCCTTATTACTACATTTAATAGTGAGAAACCTCACTAAATTCTATGAAGAGAAAAACACGTTAGATGAGACGTCTTCAACCATGCATATGTATACTCAAACATATAGAAAAATTAAAATAAACTTTCCTGTACATATTTAACTACTAAATAGGTGCACTGATGAACATATTGAAGTTTGCGT